TAACTTAAAGTGGTAAAACAGTTTATAACTTAAAATACTCAAACATATCACAGTACATCATCTAATCCGAACAATCAATAAGAAAGGATTCTGCTGGCCCGCAGTAAGCATGTGTTCGTCTCCTCTCAAGCACCAATCGACCTCAGCTGATTAGATGGTTTGAGAAGGTGAATCGATTTACTTCAGCTCGTCTGTCTGTAATGACTTCAGCTGCTACGTCACACACAGTCTGATAGGAAGCATCGCGGAAAAACACTGGAAGGTTTTTTTTATTTTATTTTAGAAACGACTTTCCTCTGCAGACATAGTGTCTGACTGACCTCCTGTCTGCAGGTTTCTGACCTCTGTCAGATAAATCAKAATGCCAGGGAAAATAGAACAAAGTTTAATTTATTCATTTTTCTAAATGTACATTATTATGTACTCTGCTTTCCTAAGAACTCCTAAGTATAATTAACTAAGCTCCTTTGTTTTTAGCAGATCAGAGATTAGGAATTTAGTCTTTGAAGCTGCTGTTTTAAGTGACTGTATGCATATAATTAATGTTGCAGATGCTTCACATGTACCAGAGTGTTATATAGACAATTTGACAAATAAAGATACAGTGCTTAAAGGATCAGCCCTCAGATCACTTTAGAAATCATTTTTGCATTCAGAGCCGGCTCTTGGCATAGGCGAACTAGGCGGTCGCCTAGAGCGCCATCTGCTGGAGGGGGCGCCGAACTGCAGAAGCAAAAAGTAATTATTTGTAATCCCTGGTTGTAACTCTGCTCAGCGCCACTTTCAGTTAGCTTTGTCTTAAAAAACGTTAATGAAGTATTACAGGAAAAATAAGCTACTCTACCCATAAACATTTTCTCTCCCCCAATGCAGCAATYGCCCCCACCCTCTCTCTCATTTGATTGACGTTGCACTGACTCGTCCTGCTCCGACACTCTGACGGGGGAGGGGCTTGTAGTGCCTCTCAGGTAGCGGTTCGTGTTGACAAACTCAATAACAACAAGTCTGTGTTTTGTTGTCCCATACATGTCAACCTCTTCGGATGTTTACCTGTATAAAAAGCCTCAAAAATCTGTAAATTTTGCAAAAAATACATGCAACTCACACCCATGGGGGTTGGGGC